GTGGATGATTGCCATGGCCGCAGATTTAATAGTTGTATGTGTTTAAATTTTGTGACTAGCTTGTCTTTGGCCTCAGATGGACTTGACTGACCATCTAATGCTAAGTAGTCTTCAAAGTTAAGGTGAAGGATGTAGGCATTACAGGTTTACATAATCTCTAGTCTTATTCATTTTCTCCTTCATTCAGTCTGTCAGCCCTTGGATGACCTTGCCCAGGAGCAAGGTACCATCTATGTCTAGGTTCATTATGATGCTCCATAGGGTACATCTGGTGAGACATATGGGGAGCTGTTTTACTCATGTGTTGCTGTGCATTGTACATGATGACTAATGGAGGTAACTGTGTCCTAGTGGGTATTCTGGCTGGCCACTCCAAATATAGTCAATTCATTTTCCTGGAAAGAAGGTTAACTTTTTTGAACCCAGAAGAATCACCCATTCGTGTTTCAGTTTGTCCCTTCATCCAGTCAGTAGTAGGTCCTGCCTCCTGTGCCAGTTCTTTGTTAGGTTCTATATGCAGTGATTTCCAGACCTGGTCCCAACAGAATCACCTGGGGAGCTTCTTTTTTTTTAAAAAAAAAAAAATATGTTTTTATTGATTTTTTAGAGAGAAAGGAAGGGAGAGGGAAAGAGAGATAGGAACATCATCTATCGGCTGCCTCCTGCAAGCCCCCCATAGGGGATCGAGCACACAATCTGGGCATGTGCTCTGACTGGGAATCGAACTGGCGGCCTCTTGGTTCCATGTTCAACAGGTGAGCTACATTGGCCGGGCATCACCAGGGGAGCTTTTAAGAAAGCACTTGCTTGGACCACATCCTAGAAATTCTGACTCTGGCTATTTGGAGTGGAACCAGGAGTTTGAAAAGAAGTACCTAAGGGCTTTGAATGCTCATCACCTTTGGGATGATTAAACTACAATCTCTTCCCAGGTGTAGTCTAGAAGTATAGCTAAGTAAAGGTTATTTCAGTACAAGGTAGATGAGTTCTAGAAAAGATAAACTATTTTGTTATCTTAGTGCTCTTTTTAAAAATATATATTTTATTGATTATTTAGAGAGAGGAAGGGAGAGGGATAGAGAGTTAGAAACATCGATGAGAGAGAAACATCGATCAGCTGCCTCCTGCACACCCCGTACTGGGGATGTGCCCGCAACCAAGGTACATGCCCTTGACTGGAATCAAACCTGGGACCCTTCAGTTTGCAGGCCGACGCTCTATCCACTGAGCCAAACCAGTTAGGGCTATCTTAGTGCTCTTAAGTCAAGTCTTACTCCAGAGTCCCACCTCCCCGATTATTTTACCTCTGATTAGCTAGGTCTCATTTTCTAAGAACATCTTGCATTTGGGGATCCTTTAAGTATAGGCACTGTGCCATTTGTTTTATAAGCACTGTTTGATTTAATCCTCACAGTAGCACTGTGAGGTGTAAGAAGTATTACTCTCTCCCTGTTGTAAAGTGTGTCTATAGTGAGGGTAATTAGAATGCTTAGCTGTCAACATTGCAGGCCGGGCCCTGTGCCCAATCTTTCTGACTGCAAAGCCCCTCCCATGTGCTGTCGGTGGCCTCTGGCATCCTGTACCAGCTCTGGAGCCTGAGTGTTACTGTCTTAAAACAATGGTCCACATAATGCTTTTGGAATGAGATAAAGCCTCTACAGAGTAATTGCTTAAGTTCACGGCCCAGGCTTTTGCCTGAAGTATTTATTCACAGTTTGTTCTCTGAGAAAAGTATCAGGAGTGACAGCCTTTTCTAGAGGAAGAGCTATAGGTTTTTAGTGCTGCATAAATCGGAAAGCTCATGCACTCTGCTTATTTATGTGCCCTGCCTTTGGCTGTAACTTCAAAAGCACTCGATATATGCTCATTTCAGAACGTTTCAAAAGATAATAGCTCATATTTTTTCCTTTATGTTTTATAGCCTTACCTTTGAAATGCCTCACAGCTTCTCCCACCTATTTCATCTCTTCTTTACACCGGGTCTTTACAGCTCGTTCTTAAAAAAGAAAGTCTTTGGTTTTGAAATATTTGAAAACATTTTTTTTTTTTACTCATTTTTCTTCTCTGACAAATTTGGTAGTTGACATCATTTTCTGGGTTAAATAAGGAAAGTGACTTAGAAGAAATTGACCCAAGCTACACTTGAGTTCAATTTGGAAATAGAAAAAAAAACAAAACCCACAGTTTTTGTCTTCTCACCTCCTAATTTAGTCATATTTTGAAAAATGCCTGTTTGTATGTATTGGATATCTTCCACTTACTTTGAGATTATACTAAATGGAGAGCTGCATAGATTAGTTATTCTACATTCAGTTCATATAAGCCTTAGCAAAAGTTTTGGATAGAATAAAATTTAAAAATTTGTGATCCAACAACTTTTTAACTCACTGCTTTCCTCACAAGCACTCCCAATACTTTTTTTTTTACTTATTCCGAATAGCTTTACAAGAGTTGACATTTTCTTTGGATTACAAAATCCGAATTTTTAACCGGTTGATTGTTAATCCGCACTATTAACGGGTTAATGATTAATCCGAATTTTTAACAATTAATGGTTAATCAGCATTATTAACCGTAATAATTCGGATTTTGTAGTCAAAGAAAACTTGATAATCATCAAAAGTGCTTTATTCAAAGTAATGTGTATCGCTAGCTACACATTTCCCCCATCTTCCAGGTAATTTGCGGATACCATCCCAATAGAACTTTTCTTGTTTTGAGGCAGACCATTCAGAGACCCAGTTTTCCACTTCTTCGTACGTTTTGAAGTGCTGCTCAGAAAGTGCATGTGCCATCAATCGAAACAAGTGGTCATCAGAAGGAGCAAGACAACAAAATAGCATACATATCAAATCGTATATATATATCCACATATGTGTAATTCCATCTATTGAAAAAAATCAGCATTATTAACCGGTACACCTAGTGCACACATACTTTCTATCTCCATCTTATCTGTCTCTTTCTTCAAGCCCACTCCCACTTATGAGCAATAATTAAACTGGACAAATGTTTAAAATAATTTGTTGCAAAATCTGTTCAAATAATGGAAGTAATTTTTCTCTTCTTTCTAATCCCACCGAATTATACATTTAATTTATGTTTATTCCTGAGCCATTGCTCAATATCAGAGGACTTAATTGTAAATAAAGCAAATGTTTAGTGTCCATTTGAATCTTAATGGGTCCAGGTCTCGGCATGACTTTTTACTTTTTGCTACCAGCCCCATGTCAGTCTCCTGCTTCTAAATCTTTCTTTCTAGACCTAACCAGGTTTTTCAGTTTACTGAAGAGCTAGTTCTATCATTAGGTTTTCAGTGACAAACAGACTGTGTGGGGTGAGAATGGCCAGCCACGAGTTTTTGGAGGACAGGGACCGTGCCTTGTTCTCCCAGGGCCGCATGGTGCCTGACCCGAGGTGCTTGGTCAGTATTTTCAAAAACAGACGGTGCATCCTTATTCTTAACTGTGCAGCAGCTATGTCCTACAACAAACTGATCATTGTGAAAATGCAACCTTGTTGCGTCTGCCTTTCTCCAAACAGAATCTGGCTTAGATAACAGAAAAACTTTGTAACTACTTGTATGATTTCTGTAAATTCTCAAGAGAGCCTCTATGGGAAACCACTGTATTTGGGTAACTTAAGTGGAACGCCCTATCTTTTCATTCTTCTTGATATCAAACGGGTGCTATCACAATTTTATCATACTTTTTAACAACAAACCTCTGTAATTAGATATTTTATTTGAAACATTAAATTTTCTCATACATGTAAAGTAAGAAAGGAGGCAATTGATTTTTTTATCCAAGAAAGGAGGAACCCTTGAACAACTGTACACATTTTTCTAATGTAGTTCTATATATAGAACCACACATACTTTTTCAAAAAAATCAATGGGAACTCCTATGGTTTACAAGGATATGGTTTAGCAATCAATTTTATAATGTAATGATAACAATGATTGATCGTTCATTCTCTCGTGCAGAGATACCTCTTTGAGTCAGAAACCTATAAAAATAACCAAAGACAATTCTTCATTGCAGTCCTACTGTCTATGAAATCAAACTAGAGAAGTTTGAGTCATTGAATAGCCACAAACCTTTGGTTCATTTTCCTTTTTCTTTTAGAGCTGCTGCTGGATGACCAGGATTCCCTGTAATTGAGGATGTTGGAGATCAACTCCGCAACTTCCTTCAGCGATCAGTTGTTAAAAACAGATAGGATGCAAGTGTCTCAACCCCGGATTATGAAAACAATACTTGGAAAACCGAAAACTATCTAAATGATTGTCTTTGGTTGGGCCGTGTTCTTAGCAAGCAGAAGCCTGGGCCAGGGTCTGCTGTTGACTCTTGAGGAACACATAGCCCACTTCCTGGGGACTGAAGGTGCTGCTGCCGCCATGGGGAACTCCTGCATCTGCCGAGATGACAGTGGAGCGGAAGACAGTGTTGACACCCAGCAGCAACAGGCCGAGAACAATGCAGTACCCACTGTTGACATAAGGCACCAATCCCGGGATCCTGTTCGGCCACCGAGGAGGGGCCGAGGACCACATGAACCACGGAGAAAGAAACAAAATGTAGATGGGTTAGTGCTGGACACACTAGCAGTCATACGGACCCTTGTAGATAAGTAAGTGCCTGAGTAACGGTCGCCCTCTGTAATGAAAAGTGATCTGCCAGGAACCATAACTCTTGGACTCCTTCGCTTCACAGGATGTATTCGCCAAGCCTTGAGCTCATAGAGCAAGGGAGAATATTTTATTTTTCCTCTGGTGGCAGAGTATATTTTACAGTTGGGTGTTTTTACTTACTAACATTTACTCCCAACTGGAAATGTCTAAATATTTCTTTTTTTTTTTCTTTTTCTTTTTTGTCAATCCTCACCCAAGGATATTTTTCCACTGATTCTTAGAGACAGTGGAAGGGAGGGGGAGAGACAGAGAGAGAGAGAGAGAAACATCGATGTGAGAGAAATACATCAATTGGTTGCCTCCTGCACATGCCCTGACCGGGGCCTGGGATGGAGCCTGCAACTGAATTATGAACCCTTGACCAGAATCAAACCAGGGACCCTTCAGTCCTCGGGCCAACACTCTATCCTCTGAGCCCAAGTACTTAGTCTGACTAGGGCTGTCTAAATATTTCTATAGCAGAAAACACTAATTAAATCTGTGGTCTTTATAGGGAATATAGTAAATATGAAGTGAGTGTGTATTGCAGGCTACAATAGGAAATGGTTTCACGAAAACTCACTTTTATCCTGTCTACTCCTCTGACCAGAAATTCAGAGCATACCTGCACGCAACTTGTGTTGGCATCTTAAGAGCATAGATCAAGGAGTTTTCATCCTCCTCCCCTTTTTAATCACCCTATTTGGTCCTCTTAGATCCATTTGGGAAAATTGTAAGTTGAAACTGCAGGGCACACCTGTACCTGTTTTGCTTCCCTCTGCTTTGTCTAACTCTTAAATACGGCATCTCAGATTGAATAATGGTGAAATCAAAGGGCATTGTTCAAACTGAAAAAACATTTTAACTGAACCACAAAGTTCAGTAGTTAGGAGCAAAAGTTTTTGAATTTTTGATGAACCATGATGGACCAAGATTCAGATTCTAACCCAGCCCCTTCACTAGCTACATGACCCTGGGAAGTGACTTCTCTAAGCCTCAGGTTCCTCATCTTTAGAAGGGGAATAGTGCCTTTCTTAGAGGGGTTGTCATGAGATAATAACAAAGCTTTTTATAAGTTATATCTGAATTGTTTTTCCTTCAAGCTCTGCTAGTAAATTTAATGGTCTAAATATTTGATAATCACGTTTTTAGAATGTGATTTTGTTTAGTTCCTCAAAAATCATAGCATAAAGCAAAGTATACCTGTGCATGTTATTTTAAGGTGGGTTTTTTGTTTTCCCTCGTAGAAAGAAATTTGTTCTGCACATCTTTTTAATGTATTTTTATTGACTTTTAGAGAGGAAGGGAGATGGAGAGGGAGAGAGAGAGATGAAACATCAATGATGAGAGAGAATCATCTATTGGCTGCCTCCTGCACACCCCACACTATGGATCGAGCCCTGACCAGGAATCGAACTGTGACCTCCTGGTTCACAGGTTAATGCTCAACCACTGAACCACGTGGGCCAGGCTGTTCTACACATCTTTTTATCTGCTATGGAACATGCTGGGGGAAAGTGTTTCTTATACATATTCTCCATAGTTCAGAAAGGCCTGACTGAGTGAGTTCATTAAAACCAGCCTTTGCAGTAGTTCTGAATTAATTTAATGTAATCTTAATATGTTTGTAGGAAATACCTATTGAATAAATCTATGCCATTTACATCTTCCAAACTCAAGCAAAGGACTAGAAGCTGTTATATAAAATTTCTTCATGGTGAAATTTAAGACATACCATAAAACTGTAGTGAAAAGTTGTCCCTCCCAAATAAGGAAGTAAACCATAAGCAATGCTATTTAAGTCCATTGGAAAAACCGATACAGAATAGATTTTGCCATATATTTTAAAAAGTGATTCAGAGAGTCTGGGGGCAATGTAGGAGCTTTATGTATTTTTTAAAAATATATCTTTCATTGATTTCAGAGAGGAAGGGAGAGGGAGAGAGAAACACCAATGATGTGAGGGAATCATTGATCGGCTGCCTCCTGCAGGCCCCACACTGGGGATTGAGCCAGCATCCGGGACATGGGCCCTGACCCGGAATTGTACCGTGACCTCCTAAGTTCACAGGTTGACGCTCAACCACTGAGCCACACCAGTCAGGTGCAAGGTAGGAGCTTTATTTCCAATCTTCAGCAAATTATAAGAGAACTTGCTGATAAAGCACATAATTCACTTCCATGAGGCAAGTGATATACATTTGAGTAATCAGGTAACTTGCACCTTAAACCTGTTGTGCTGAGTTACAACTTTTCTGAGGATAGAAAACTAAGGCAGGTGTAGAACAAATGTGAAGTGCTACGTTGGAGAATATAATGGCAAAGCAGGGTTCGGTCAGTCTATAAACAGAGTCACATAGCTTGCTTTTTAGAAACTACTGAAGGAGAAGAATTTTATAACATAAAGTTTATAAGGCTTTTAAAACGACATGAAAGATAGACGGGCCTAGTAAGAATACACCTAAAAGGGTGTCTGCAGTTGTAAAATGTATTTATTGTTCTCCTCGTTACTTAGGAAAAGGTGACGCTGATCTGACAGGAGAGCACAGTTCTTAATAGAGAGTTTCTGTAGCAGTTACACTGTTTTTTTTTTTTTAAATCATTCTTTTAAATAAAAGGTTTTTAATGATTTTAGAAAGAGGAAGGGGGGGAGAAAGAGAGAGAGAGAGAGAGAGAAACATCAATGATGAGAGAGAATCATCGATTGACTGCCTCCTGCACGCCGATTGAGACAGCAGCTCGGGCATGTGCCCTGACCAGGAACCGGACAGTGACCTCCTGATTGACAGATCAACGCTCAACCACTGAGCCACACCAGTCGGGTAGAGGGTAAACTTTTGTTTGGGATTGTCATTTCTCATTTCTTCAAGTCTGATGTCTTGAATGTTTGTTTTTCAGTGATCAGGAACCTCCCTATTCAATGATTACATTGCACGAAATGGCAGAAACAGGTATTTTTAAAGTTTTTTTTAAAAAATACTTCCTAATGAATTAATGATTATGAAATTAACAATTATAAAGAAATGTGACCACTTTTTAAAAAAATAAATAAATAAAAGATCCCCCAAATACTTAACAGTATGACAAAGAAAAAAATCCCTTAGTATATGGAAATTTTCTTAGACAAGGGATAGGAAATGTATATTGCATCCTGAATATGTAGCTGTACCTCTCAGTAATAGTTTTATCTCATTGAAATTATTACCAGAAAAATTTTTTGGCATTGATGGATCGTTGACCATAACTCTTCTAGAATGGGAAGAATAATTTTTCTCCCTCAATTTGCTAAGTATAATTCTGAAAATAGAGCCAACTACTTCAGATACTTAATCTTCTTGGTTAACTCCTATGTCATAAATAAAATGCCAAAAACTTTTAAAATCATATTTTGAGGACCCAGGACCATAGCTTGAATTTTCTCCAGATAAAGCTGCCAAAAACATCGCCAGACTCCTGTAAATTTGGATTCTTTGACTCTACCATGATTACTAGCAATTGATGACTATGTCCATGCCAGATGTTAGCTGCTAAAACGTTACAGGATGAAGGTCAACAGTGTTTCTATTTTAATGTGAAGTCATCTTGGGTCATAGGTTATATATTTTCACATTTTTAAAATAGTGGCTCCATCATGTAATCTTCTTGATTTGCTCTTAGATGAAGGATGGTTGGACGTTGTCCAGTCTTTAATTAGAGTTATTCCATTGGAAGATCCATTGGGACCAGCTGTTATAACATTGTTACTAGATGAATGTCCATTGCCCACTAAAGTAAGTTAATACTTATCTTTTATGAAACTGTCATCTGTGTTTAAACACAGGATGAATGACCACAAGGAATATTTGATGTAATGCATTTCCTCTTTATGCACTTGGTATCTGTTTTATTCAGTATTAATTTCATTATATAAACCAATGAAGTGCTACATTCTCCTATCAGTAGCTCACTGTACAGCTTTAGCTTAAAATTTTAAAAATGTTAAAAATGGAGGCATTTAATCTAAAATACAATCTTTGGAAACTAGAAGAGAGGAATCAGTTGCTGAGCTGATTTTCTTATATTTAAACAATTTCCTCGTAACAAAAATTTTACACATTTTCTATTAAGAAAATAACTGTTATAACTGAAAGCACTTTTGAGGCTTACTCATACATTAAAGATTATATAACTATTCCCTTACATAGAACAAAAATTCAAACTCTCATTGCCTTAGTCCATATGCTCTATGGAACCCTTTTTTAAAATGCTGGGTTCTGGCATCTTTCATTTGTTTAAACCTCAGACCTTAAGGTCCAACATTGCAAAACAATGTGGACAAAGGGAAAAGTCTTTGGCCAAGTCCCTGATGAATTGACTTGCTTAGGCTTATAAGAGGTTTGTTTCTATCCTAATTTGTCTCAAAAGTTCTGGTGAGATTTATTCTTGCTTGGTAAAAAGATAAAAATTTTTAAAGTAACTTTTTACTTCAGCATCACTAGGCCCTGTTGTTATAAATTATAATGGCACTTGGGTAGATTTATTCTACCCAAATGATTTCATGATTCAAGAGTATATAGCATATATTTGGTATGACTGTTACATTTTGAATGGAATAGAATTTAGCAATTTATGGGAGACAACTTTCAGGTTAATCAGATAATAGTTCCCATCAATAATGGTATATCGGGTACATTGTATCATTTCTGTGTGGTTATTCTGAGTTAACACCTCATTATAGCTTTTGCCTATGAGGATTATCTTGGGGGTGGGGGGGCCTAAGTAGTGTATTTATGAAATCCACTTGTTCATTTTTGACTTTAGGATGCACTCCAGAAATTGACAGAAATTCTGAATTTAAATGGAGAAGTAGCCTGCCAGGACTCGGGTCATCCTGCCAAACACAGGAACACATCTGCTGTCCTGGGCTGCTTGGCCGAGAAACTAGCAGGTAACTCTGGAACGCTCCACCAAGAAGATCTTAAGTTGTTTGACATTAAGGGGAAGATTGCACTGCAGGGCTAATAAGTTATAATGGTACCGGAAAGGAGAATCTCCCCCCATCCGCAAAATTGAGGGACAAGGATAACGAAAAAAAGTACACAAAGGCCACGGAGGTGAATGCAATCTAATTAAGCTTTGAGGATTTTCAGAGGGAAATTTAAAAAAACAAGTAGTACGTACTTGCTTTAAAATTAAGAATAGGAGAAAAGGCTGAACTTAGTATAACAAAGATTCTAAAAGTTTAGCTAGGTGATAGAGACATAAAAGGTAGGGGGAAGAGGAAAAAGAACTTTATTTTTTTTAAAATATATTTTATTGATTTTTCACAGAGAGGAATGGATAGAGATAGAGAGGTAGAAACGTTGATGAGAGAGAAACATCGATCAGCTGCCTCCTGCACATCTCCCACTGGGGATGTGCCCACAACCCAGGTACATGCCCTTGACCGGAATCGAACCTGGGACCTTTCAGTCCACAGGCCGACGCTCTATCCACTGAGCCAAACCGGCTTCGGCAGGAAAAATAACTTTAAATTGGAGCAGTTCCTGAGAAGAGAAACAGATATTTAACTTGTTTATGAATAGTACCCATTTTAGGAAGGTTAACATTCAAGTACAGGGGGCTAGCTGGCTATATCACGTGGTGGAAGGAGCAGTGGCTTAGAAATCAGAACAAATGGGTGCTGGTTCATACTCTGCCATGTGCTCCCCAAGTGGCCTGGAGTAAGTTGCTTCACTTGGAGGGGGGAAGGGCGTGGGAGGACTCAGTTGCTCATCTATGATTTGGGGATAGTACCAGTCCCCTACCTTGAGTGGGAGACTTGAATAAGATCATGGGCAGGAGAGTGCTTGGTAAGAGTTCTACCAAAACAATTGTATTGTTACTAGTTACTGTTCAAAAAATAACATGGCACATTTAATTATACCCAGTGTTTGTTGTATTCGTCTAGGTCCTGCAAGTATAGGTTTACTTAGCCCAGGAATACTGGAATATTTGCTACAGTGTCTGGTAAGTGAGACATCAAAGCTAGTTATTCTTAGCCATTTAGAATGGTGCATTTTTCTAAAATTGCCAGCTTAGCCATTGGCACAGAGAATGGAATCAGTTATAAATGTTATAAATTTTATTTGCAGGTGTTTCCTGAGTGTTTATTCCCTCCTATGTTAAAAAAAAAAAAATGAGGGTGGGATAGGAATTTATTACAAGCAAAAACAGCTGGGCTGGGCTGGTTTTAAATGTAGTCACAAGATAGCAGCTATGATTGACTTATTGTGTGTGTCCTTAGAGTCTACCAAATGGTAGTAGGGACACCGCTCCCCCCTTCCCACCCTCTACCCCATGGAAACAAAATTACATGGCATTCCAAACCAGGAAACCTGCAGGTCAGATTCCCAGTGTATCTAAATCTCTAGTCCACCGTCCCTCCCCTGTCACTAAGGCTCTTAAAACTGTTGTTGGGGATTTGATGTATTGTCGGGGAAGCTTGTGGTTTGCTGTGCCTCTGCCGTCAGACCTCACACTGCTGGGCTGCAGTCTGTATTTTTTTAGTTATTTTTGCAGTGAGCACTGGCCTTCAAAAGCTGAAAGACCTTTTTCAGTACTACTAGTATGTGATGTGGACTTAAAACACTCAACATTATGTTAGGGAACCACTCTGGGGATACGGAATTGTATACCAGTTCTTTGCCCTGGAGAAGTTTCCTGGTTAGTTGAGGGAACAAAACTACTCAGATAAGACAGTAAGCCTCCATTTATGGCAGGATATGATCAAGGGCAAAATCGCTTCCTTTAGACCACGTGCTGCGAGTTCTGAGGTGATAGGAGGTGGGAGCTATGGGTGGTGCTGGCGGGAGAGTCCTGGGCTACAGGCTTCCTGAGGAGGATGGGACCTCATGGGCCACACGCTGAGGATAGGAGTTGATTGTGCACACAGGGAGAAAAAAGTGAGTTTCTGGGCTAGCGACACATCACTGGCAGAGCCCAGAGATAGACAAGACCGTGTTCCAGAGAACTGTCTGCTTGGAAGATAGTGTTCAGAGACATGAGGATATAGACTGAGTAGCCAGAGGGGAGGGCCTAGGGCCTGAAAAGCCAGACAGTGGGGTATGAAGCAGGGTGCTGAGCAGGCTTGCAACAGGGGAGGATGGTGGTTATATGAGCTTTGCAGAAGCCAGTTGGGCACCAGGGAAGTGAGTGGACTTGTTTGATGTCCCAGAGCTCCTAGTAGCTGTGTGAAAGCATGGCTGTGAGATGTGATGTTAAGCCGATAGACCTTTCTTTATAGGTGAGCTCGTGGGACGTGAACTGAAGTGTAATGGAAAGAGCTCACTTGCTCTCCCGCCTGCCATCAGCATGCGGCATTCCTTTCTGAGAACAGATTGAAAACTAAGCCTCTAGCTGTTAATTTCATTATTATTTTAGAACCCAGCAATGATGAATTGTTCCTTTTAGGGTGCTGAATAAAAAGTCATTTTTTGCTACAATTCTAGGTTTCTGTTTGGCTTGCTTAAATGAATGTAAGAATCAGTATTATTTAATAAAGCCCTAATATAAATGCTACTAAGTAAAATAACATAGTGCATTTAACCAGCTACTTCTGAAATTTCCATAACTCTAAGTGAACCCCGTAACCTCAAGAAAATAACATAAGACTCGAAGAGACCCTGTCTTGGTTCTTCATTACTAACAGTATTAGCAAAGGGATAATGGAGGCCTGGAATGAGTAAAACCTTTCTGACTGCTCCAACCAAAGTCTAGCACATATTGCGTAAGAAGAGGAAGTTGATAGCTTGCCACCTCTGCAGGGAAATGATGTTTCTGTTTTTTGTTTTTTATCTTTTGTTGTCTTTCAGAAGTTACAGTCCCACCCCACAGTCATGCTTTTTGCACTTATCGCACTGGAAAAGTTTGCACAGACAAGTAGGTATAGTGACTTCTTGCACTAATGATCTATGTATCGGTTGTTAAAACTCTGATTTTTCTCAGTTACTGGATGAGTTTACGCTTGGAACCCCATGGAACATGCATACATCCTGTTTTTGTCTGTGTAGACACCTCAAGGCCAGTAGATGCACCAGGGACAAAGGCAAGAGGTTCTCTCACCTGAGAATCAAAACTTCGTGACCATGATTACCCACTTTTTGTAGCTAAAAAGTTAGCGACGAGGTTGCTACTTTCTAGAAAATAGCAGAGCTCTTGAGCTATGTCATTATTCTAGTCTCCAAGTTCTCTACCTTTCCTCACTCCTTCCCACCACTCATCTGTCCAGCGAATCATCTTACTCTTTCATGGTTCATTCAAGGTTTACATCTTTCCAAACAGGTGAAAATAAGTTGACTATCTCTGAATCCAGCATTAGTAACCGGCTTGTCACGTTGGAGTCCTGGACCCATGATCCCGATTATCTGAAACGTCAAGTTGGTTTCTGTGCCCAGTGGAGCTTAGACAATCTCTGTAAGTTTCCATTCCCAAACTTCCTCCCCCCCCCCCTCCTCCTCCTCCTCCTTTCTTCTTCTTTCTTCTTCTTCTCCTCTTCCTCCTCATCGTCCTCCTCCTTCATTTTCATCATACATTTTTATTGATTTCAGAGAGGAAGGGAGAGGGAGAGAAAGATAGAAACATCAATGATGAGAGAGAATCATGGATCGGCTGCGTCCTGCACGCCCCCTACTGGGAATCACACCCGCAACCCAGGCATGTGCCCTTGACCAGAATTGAACCTTGGACTTTTCCGTCTGCAGGCCCATGCTCTGTCCACTGAACCAAACCAGTTGGGGCCCAAACCCATTTCTTACATAGGGTCACTGGCCTTCAGTTTGTAACAGTGAGCATGAGCCTTTCCTTATAAGGACCTCTACTTGTAGGTTGGCTGTATTCTAGCAGAAACATATTCTAGGGGCCCTTCAGACAGGCATGATATGGAAGGCTTCTGGTTCCAGCACTCTCCCCTTCTAAAACTTCTACTGCTGCCCTGTTTCCTGCTGCATCAAGGCCATTCATCAGATGGCACCGTGTGGTCAACTCTTCCAACACACTGTCTCCTGCTGTCCTACAAGCAGGTCCCCATCCTTCTACCTCTGGGCCTGTTCCCTCACTAGGCATTTCCTCTCTTTACTCTTCTCCCTGTCCCATCTTGGCTCTTCAAAGCTCAAGTCATGGCCCAGCTGGCATGGCTCAGTGGTTAAGCGATGACCTATGAACCAGGAGGTCACGGTTCGATTCCAAACACTGGTCAGGGCACATGCCCAGGTTGCAAACTTGATCCCCAGTAGGGGGCATGCAGGAGGCAACCAATCAATTATTCTCTCTCATCATTGATGTTTCTATCTCTTTCTCCCTTTCCCTCTCTGAAATCAATAAAAATATATTTTTAACAAATATTTTAAAAAAACAAAACTCAAGTCATGTCTTATCTACACAACAGGGTTGCTCCTGAATGTTCTCTTTTTCTCTGCCAAGGGCTGCTAGAATAAAACAATTTTACCAGTAGCTCCTCACTTCCCATCCACAGTGAGCACTGTGCTGAAACGCAATTGGACATGTAACCCCTGCTGCTACCGCAACATTGTGGGGACTGGCTTAGCGCACAGCCTGTGTTCTGCCAGTTAAAAAATAATTCTGAAAAACTACAATTCAGATTTTGTTGCATATAAAATACAGGCAGACCTCTTTTTATTGCACTGGGAAGCCAGAAGATTCATGTGACTTGCTTTATTGCAGCATCTGGAACTTTATTGCAGTCTCTCTGAGGCCTTCCTGTAATGACTATGGGGAGAAAAGCATAAGTCCAGCAGTGCTGCCTTCCCCAGCGACATATGGTAGTGTAACCGCAAAGCCAAGGTTGTGCGTCCCCCTACCAGCCCTGCCACCCATGAGCACCTCCGCTTCTGAACAGGAATGGCACTGAGCCATAACTCTGGTTTCTTCCCACAACAGTCAGGCTGAGAAACATGACACTTTCTCTTTTGCAGTTCTGAAAGAAGGTAGGCAGCTGACCTATGAGAAAGTGGACTTGAGTAGCATCAGGGCCATGCTGAATAGCAATGATGTCAGCGAGTACCTGAAGATCTCGCCTCATGGCCTGGAGGTAAAGCTGCTGCACATGGACTATTGCGGGGTGGGGTATCTTATTCTCATTTTCATGCCCTGGTTCTGAACAAAAGCAATTTCCTGCAGAGGAGACAGAAATTGATTTCAGAGAGCGGTTAGAGGTCCAAGTGGCAGGAGAGAGAGTGTTGGGGTATCATTTATCCTTTAGATCCCACATAGTGCTATACGTATAGGAAGCACTGTGATATTTATTGACGGTTTGGTTTAAATATGTCCATCTTTCTTCTCTGCTATGTTATCCAGCTAATGGTACAAAGACTAGTGTTTCTAAAAGAGGCCCTTCCTTTTTTTAACCCCTGCAGAGCCAGTTGGATTGGGGCTAGTGCTTCCTCTCCCCCCTCTGTGTTGGAAATGCTCTGGCCTGTGGTGAAGGTTGATGAGAAAGCTGCTTATGATGAGGCAGGCGCCAGAGGCACCAGGCTTGTCCAGATTGAAGAGCTGTTTGGGGAACGGCTGCAGACAGCTCTTTGATCTTCCGTATTGCCGAATGCTTGATGTAGTTTTCTGCTTTCAATTATTTTTAGGTACCGCATCTTATACCCTTCAGCATCCTTCTCTCCCTCCATATTAAGTACAGGTTAAGGCAATGTTTATGCATTTGTAAGAGATTCTACTGTGAGAGCGAAGCTCTGTAGGTATTTAAAAATGAAGCCAGGAGCCTTCCCTACCTCTTACCGCAGCCATCTTGGAGATCTTCCCATCCTGCTAGAATCCCTGGAAATAAAACTGCGATATGGTGTGTGCTCCAATCGGCTTCGCACTTTTTGTCACCGAGGTGCACAGAGAAGGAAGCAGTGGTCCACCAGGAGCGTTCAGAAGGAAAACTCGCAGCCTTCCGAGCTGCCGGTGTCTGGTGGGCTTCAGGCATTGAGGGGGCCTCTCTTGCTCTTTGGTTTTGCCAGGCTCGCTGTGATGCCTCCTCTTTTGAAAGCGTGCGTTGCACCTTTTGTGTGGATGCTGGGGTGTGGTACTACGAAGTAACCGTGATCACTTCCGGTGTCATGCAGATCGGCTGGGCCACACGCGACAGCAAATTTCTCAATCATGTGAGTACCCGGAGGACTGCCATGGGTGTGGCGGCAGTTTTTAGCTGAGTGGGTAGAGACACTTATTTTTCAGAGAGGTTTGCACATGCCCGGGTTGTGGGGTCGATACCCAGTAGGGGGCGTGCAGGAGGCAGCCTGTCAGTGGTTCTCTCTTTTGTTTCTATCTTTCCCTCTCCCTTCCTCTCTGAAATCAATAAAAATATGTTTTAAAAAAAAACAGCAACACTCTTTCCCAAAACATAGCAGGCCTTGCTAATCTCCTGGGCCGTCTCCCTCCAGGAAGGCTACGGCATTGGGGACGATGAGTATTCCTGTGCTTACGATGGCTGCCGGCAGCTGATTTGGTACAATGCCAGAAGTAAGCCTCACCTGCACCCGTGCTGGAAAGAAGGTATTCATTCCTCTCCATCATGAAATTATCAGTTAGGTCAAGACGTTGCTTATTATGAAGCATCTATTATGTTAGGCCTTAAAATGTTCTTATGGAAGAATATTCAGTGTGAAGAGGGTTAGTTCGCCTTCATATCCCCTGCCATGGATGGGAAAGGTATTCACCTGCTAAATTCACCTCTGGTGGAGCCCTTCCTTCAGCAAAAACATCTCAGAATGTAAAAGGTCTTAATTTAGTGGGAAGTGATCATCTTACGATTAGTATGAATTCTAGTTTCCTCTCTGGGTGTATGTTTTGAATCAAAGCAGCTATGGAGATATCGAAGATACTGAAAGTGTAATGAGGATATTTTACATTTAAATGAGGATATTTTCAGAGACCAGATGGCTGAGGAATAGGCACTGTTCAGTGGACACATGCTGGCACCTCTGGCGCAGCCTTTAAGGGCAGCTTGAGCACTTTCGGCCTCAAACACGTCTGCTCAGCCTCCCTTCTCCAGACGGCAGCCTCAGGCTGCTGCAGGGGACACAGACTTCCAGAAACTCAGTCATGGCTCTAGGATGTTTGCAGGAATGTATCTTAGCAACAGTATGATCTTTCTCACCCATTCAATTTTTGTTCCATCCGCTCTGCAGTATCTAAGACCCTGGACCCATGAAAACATTTATTGGTTAAAGATTCAAGCGGGAAGTCAGAGCCACACAGTTGGTTTGTTTAACACTTAGATGGGAGGGTCTAAGGTTATTGAGTCTTTTCACCCCTCGCTAAATACAGTGAAAAGAGGCTTTCCCTGCCACAGCACCATCGCACTGGAGGTCGATATTCCCCAGGGCCTCCTGATGCTGTGCCTCGACCACCACCACCACCACCACCCCCTCCACACACACACAAACACATTGGTTCTGAAGACATAGCATCAAATGGTAGGGGATGAAGCCTCTGCAAAGATTTTATCCCCAGCATTGGACTAGATAGGAGATATAGCCCAGCTCCTTCTCCAAGCCTGCCTCTCTCTCTCTCTCTCTCTCTCTCTCTCTCTCTCTCTTTCTCTTTCCTGCACCAGTCTGCTTTATAAATGTAAACTGCATTTTCAGGCATGCTAAGAGAGCAGGAAATTGACCCCTGCCATGCAGGGTCAGGGGTCAGTTAATTAAAGTGATAGTGTAAGAAAGAAAAAAAACCTTAAAAGTCAAATATAAGCCTTCATTTGAATGGCTTGTAGGTTCTTAAAGAAGGAATATAACACTTCATGTAACAGATCATAAGATGGAGGTACTGTCTACAAAGACTGTGTAATTTGGTTTCTTTTAAATAATTTTACAAAGGATTACTTAAATAATGTGTTTATTATAAAATTTTGGAAAATAGAGGAGGGAAGCAAAATGAAACTGAAATCCCTTGTAATTCCACCATCCAGAGATTTTTTTAAAAAACACTTAAAATTTGATGTAAATATTTATTACATAATTATACTATGTTAATACTTCAAGGTTGGATAATTACATTTTAACCTTTTTAAATATGAACCATTCTGGATAGTCTCAGGATAAATACTTAAAGTGGAACTTCTGGTAAGGGGGATAAAGAATTTCATTTTGTAAATGTTTTGCTCTATATGACCAGATTACCCTCCACTAGCAGTGAGTGCCTATTTTTCTTATCATCGTTGTATAATTTCATGTGTTCACCTTTAAGAATTTAAAAAGCAAAAACTTGTCCAGCTGGTGTGGCTCATGGTGAGCGTTGACCTATGAACCAGGAAGTCATGGTTCAATTCCTATCAGGGCACATGCCCAGGTTGCGGGCTTGATCCCCAATGTGGGGTGTGCAGGAGGCAGCCAATCAATCATTCTCTCTCATCATTGATGTTTCTCTCTCTCTCCCTCTCCCTTCCTCTCTGAAATATATATATAAAACCCTGAGACACTTAGCAGAATCCCAGTGTATACACCCTCATCCTAACACTGCTTTGCTTTCTCCTGCAGGAGATACGGTAGGATTTCTGTTAGACTTGAATGAAAAGCAAATGATCTTCTTTTTAAATGGCAACCAGCTGCCTCCTGAGAAGCAAGTCTTTTCGTCTACTGTGTAAGTAGCTTTTTCCATTCAAAACCTTGAGGACATGCACAGAATGCACTTTTTAAAAAAAAGTTAAGAGTTATTCTGAGAAAGCTCACTTTTTAAATTTAATTTTATTTATTTTCTTTAATATATTTTTATTGATTTCAGAGAGGAAGGGAGAGGGAGCGAGAGATAGAAACATCAGTGATGGGAATCAGTGACCCACTGCCTCCTGCATACCCCCCACTGGGGAGCAAGCCTATAATCTGAGCATGTGTCCTAACTTGGAATCTAACCTTGACCTCCTGCTTCATAGGTCAATGCTCAACCACTGAGCACACAGCCGGGCCGGAATGCACTTTCTCCAGAAAAAAAACTTTGTCCATTTATATAGTCAGGTGTGATGAGACACCATTTTATTTCAAGTAATTGGGGTTCCATCTGATCATACCTAAAGTCACCTCAAAGTTTGACATAGGAAGATAAGGGCAGGAGATCCTGTCCCCCTTTCCGCTAGGATGTGACTCATTCCAACTTCGGAAAAACCACTTCACATGTGAGCGTTGCCTTGTTTTTATGAATTTTCTTGACCTCTTGCTTATTTTTTTCTGTAGATCTGGATTTTTTGCTGCAGCTAGTTTCATGTCGTATCAACAGTGTGAGTTCAATTTTGGAGCAAAACCATTTAAATATCCACCATCTATGAAATTTAGCACTTTTAATGACTACGCCTTCCTGAGAGCTGAAGAGAAGATCATTTTGCCAAGGTAAGGGGTCTGCAGACCGGCTCCAGACTTCCTCGTGTATCTCATGAGAAATTACAATCGTTTCTCAGAAGCTTTTTTCAGCTTCATACAAATAATTTTGAAAACCTGAGTAAAATAGCAACTTCCTAGGAAATAGAAATTACCAAAACACATCCCAGAAGAGATAGAAACAAAACAGTTATTACAAAATTAATTGAAAGAAATCGAGAGCTATGGTCCCAGAGAGCACCAGACCTAGGGGGTTTCGCCGGAGAACTCCCCCAAATATTTGGGCAACAGATCACTTCTCTGCTATTTAAAATATTGCAGAACCCAGAAGGAAAGAGCACTTCCAAGTAATTGTTCTGAGCTGACTAATATTAGTTATAAAAATCAGACAATATAACACATTGCACATACCCCAAAAACACCTGCGGGGGGCGGGGAGGGGGCGGTTCTGGGTTGGTAGGTACATAGGTACAGGATGGTTACCATTTAACATTTACAGTGACTAGAGGTTGTATGTGGGCAACAAGCTAACTCTGAGGAGTTGCAGGTGCTCCACCCAGGAGTAAGAAAAGAAGATTACTCTAACATTTCAATTTCTGGTATCTCAGATGCCTAAGAACATGGGCAGGGCTAATTAAGGTACAGGTTAACCTGAGGAATCAATAGGCCTGGGATGTGACTACCTACGGTGACCTGCCCAGTGAGGAGTTTATGATCAGCTCATCCTGTGTGGATACTGTCAGTCACTACTTGTCAGGCCTGCCCTGTGCTCCCAAGCAGGTCATGTCTGCTGTGTAGTCCCTCTTTCATTCTTAGCACACACAGCATTTTCAAAGCATTTCCTGGGCCTCCCTGCTCACGGGCCCACTTCTCTCTGACATGCTGTGTTTTCCACTCAGGCACAGGCGTCTTGCTCTGTTGAAGCAAGTCAGTATCCGGGAAAACTGCTGCTCCCTGTGTTGTGATGAGGTAGCAGACACACAGCTGAAGCCATGTGGCCACAGGTAAGAGGGCTTATGTGACTAGTTCCTGTTTTGTACGTTATATTAGGCAGTTTCATCGTGTCCTTGAATTGCTTTTAGAGTGTCCAGTTTCATAGCTGTTCATCAGTTCACTGTGTGAAAGTGGGCTAAATGAGGAGCTCAGTCGGGCAAGGAGCACATGGCTGTCTCCAAGAGCGTACCTGAAGCAGAAGCAGCTGCTTGATGCCGAAGGCCTTTCTTTTCTCAGTGCTATGTTTTCAATAGTGTGCACATCACAAAATGTGAAACGTTTAATGCTATTTATGATCTTCGCGGGCAGTCCCTCTTAGTTGTAGAGCCTCCTCATATATTTATTATTTATACTCTTAACCATTGAGCAGGCAGCGCCTCCCTGCCATCTAACCACACATCAGTTGTCTGAGATGAACTCAAAGGGCAGCCTACACCCTGTAGAACAGAGTGGCTAAACATCAGCCAGACCAGCAAGCATGACAGTCCCCAAGAAGGCCCTCCCAGCCCGGGCTAGAAAGGGGTTGGCAGTGTGCGGGCCCAGGCATGCATGCTGACTGTATGTGAGCAGCTCCCTGTAATTCAGCACAGCCCGTACCCTACCTTGCTCTTATGTCTGACATAGCTTTAGCCACCAGGCCTCCCAGGGTCCAGAGCCTGGAGTGACGGACCCGTTTGTCACCCCCAGTGTGCCTCAGCCTGGGCCCTGACTCTGCCGTCTTTTGAGATGTGTTGTTATCTAACGGCTGTTAAGGAAAGTGCATTCAGTGTACCTCATTTCCCCCTTATCTGTACCAGTCTCTCTCCTGAAAGAAAGGTTCAGTGGCTCCAGCTACGGTTGCTCCTTGATATCACCTCCGCAGCCAAGAATTCCTCACTTTGAGCCCCTTTGGAGGTTTTAGTTATCAGGGCCTCACAGGCAGATGCAGAGTTTAAAGGTTGGGTAGCTTGATACCCTTTTTGATCTTTGTAAGTATGTTAAGATCCCAAACAAACAGCGGGATCTGGTCTTCATATATATATATATATATATATAGAGAAAGAGAGAGAGAGAGAGAGAGAGAGAGAGAGAGAGAGAGAGAGATTGATTTCAGAGAGGAAGGGAGAGGGAGAGAAAAACATCAATGATGAGAGAGAATCATTGATCGGCTGCCTTCTGCACGCCCCCCAATGGGGATAGAGCCTGCGCAACCTGGGCATGTGCCCCAACTGAGAATTAAACCGTGACCTCTTGGTTTATAGGTCGATGCTCAACCACTGAGCCACACCAGTCGGACCAGGATCTGGTCTTATTCATCTCTGTGCTCTCAGGCCCTCTCAGTGGTTTTTGCACATAATAAGGGCTCATGAATGAAGGCTGAATCTAAAACTTAGAACCAGCTATCTTAAATATGAGCACAGCTTCCTTAGTAGACAAATCCAAAACAGGATCGAGGAGGAAATGAGAGGGAGACTTGTTATTTATTTATATATGTACTTCATTTTATTAGCCATGAATTATTACTCTTTCAATTAATAAGCTTGTTAACATTTTCGATCACATCGGTCAGTCTGGCCTCTTGATGCGTTAACCTAACTGGCGTTTGTCTTTCTCCGCAGTGACCTGTGCATGAATTGTGCCTTGCAACTGGAGACCTGCCCATTGTGTCGGAAAGAAATAGCGTCTAGAGTCAGACAGATCTCTCATATTTCATGACACACGGGAAGAGACACACGGACTTATTTCTACTCAATTCCAGCCAGTGTGGAAAAGAAAAAGAAAAAACCCATCTCTAATCAGTTGTACGCACATTGAAACTTATAGCCATGGCCAGATTTTATGCTAAAAATGGTAGTTTGTCAAAGACAAAATTCTCTTAGAATCTAACCCAACTTGCCAGCCCTGAGAAATTCCTTTCAAGGCCAAGGAAAGCTGAGTGCTAACAAGTGAGGCCTGTGGTACTTCCCTGAAGCGATAGGGGGCAGCACCCTCACGAGTGCTGGGGCCACACCAGATTTCTCCATGTTGGGTTCGTTTGATTGTCTAACACAGGATGTTTTGTCTCATATTCTGAAGTTTTATTTGGACAGAAGGTCATTATGGAGAAGTAAACGGCAGCATTTCTGGGTTGAGTATAACTTCCCATTGGTCAGAGATAGCGGTGTGTTAAGTGTGGCTATTGCACTGTAAAACTTGAATCTATAAAACTAGAACCACACAGGTCAATACTACGAGCAATTTGGAGAGCCTGAAAGAAGGTGCACAGACTGTAGAAAACTCCCAAACTTTTGATATTTCAGTGATTCCAAAGAACATTCTAGTTTTTTTTAAATGCAGAAAATCGGTGGTATTTTCACATTCATGGTGTTTCTATCCAACTTCAGTACCCACATTTCGTGAGGAAAACATGTTTTAACAATGCAGGATGAATTCTTGAATTAATTGCAATGTTTGGAGAAAATTTGGTATTTAAGGTATTTTTAAGGTACCATCAAATCAGGTTTTTGGTTAAAAAAATTGTTTTTAATCAGTATTGTTTTTGAAAGTAACATACTTTGAAACGCTTGAACTAACAGTCTCAGAAACTCTTAGAAGATAGTCTGAGAGCACGTATTCCTGTTGTTTTGAATAAATAACATGTTTGAATAGTGAATTCAATCATGGATTGCTGACTGTATCTCCATCAAAGTGTTCCTCCCTCTCAGGGTCTCTGGTGAAGACCTTCAAGAGTTTGGTTTTTTTCTCCCAGAAAATTGGAAGGTAGAATTGTAAATCCATAGAATTTACTTTATAATGGTGTACCTCAGCAGCTGCCTTTCGATTTATGCCAAGTCCTTACTGAGTTTATACTTGAATAGTAAATATGTCTTCTGAGTTTTACAGTGTCTTAAACTCAATGCACATTTTTTCTTCCTTCCCTACCCTTTTTCGTTTGTAGTTCATTAAAATGTCCTCTTACAGTGTTGGTTTCCTTCCTGGCCGTGCTTGTTGGGGTGCTGGATTTTTCCCATGTCGTTAGTCTTCCATAAATTCAAAAATATATATAAATATAAATATATATATATATATATATATATATGTTCTTTAGCTTGTGGTGAATACAGTAATTTGCATTGAAGAAATAAAACATTTGTTGCCTTTTTTTAACTAAGATTTCACAACTTTCATTGGTCCCTGCTGCTAAAGCTCTAAGACAGCATACTCTCAGGTGTAAGGAGAGAATCACGTGTTAGAATTAAGAAGAGAGGTTAATCACTGTCCATCCAGCAAATCTTTATTCTGGGCACTTGTATACAAAACAGATCTGTTCATGGAGCTCGCTTACATCTGGGAGTGGGAAGAAGACCACTGAGCAACACCAGCTGGGCTACTTTTCCAATTCTTCTAGACCCGTGGTCGGCAAACTGCGGCTCGCGAGCCACATGCGGCTCTTTGGCCCCTTGGGTGTGGCTCTTCCTAAGCCTTAGGAGTACCCTAATTAAGTTAATAACAATGTACCCACCTATATAGTTTAAGTTTAAAAAAATTGGCTCTCAAAAGAAATTTCAATCGTTGTACTGTTGATATTTGGCTCTGTTGACTGAGTTTGCCAACCACTGTTCTAGACCATAAAACAAGGATTTCAATATTAAATTATTCAGATGGAAGCAAAGTTGTAATTTAGGAGTTGCTTCAAAGGGAAAGACATTTACTCCACATAGAAGAGAAAAAATTGCCAAGCTATGTGGAAGAGGGTAAACAATGATCTATATTCTGTGTGGTCTGTAAGCATTTTAAGAGAAATGGAAAGCTAGGCTTTTGCTGATGGTATATTGTACCAGAGAGAACAATATGTAATATATATATTTTTTATTATTTGTTTATTGTCAAGTCATTCATTAGATTGTTTTTTACCCTCGCCAGAGGATATGTTTTATTGATTTTAGAAAGAGAGACATCCATGCGAGAGAGAAGCATCAATGGGTTGCCTCCCGCATGGGCCTTGATCGTGTATTGAACCCTCAACCTTTTGGTGCACAGGACAACGCTACAACCAACTGAGTCACCTGGCCAGGCATGTAATTTATATTTTTTATTTCCCGGAAATACCCCCAGGATTCCAGCCAGCCAAAAAAAAAATGTTTCTAATGAATTGCCACTTTTTTTGAATGATACCGCTAAAGCAAGGTAAAGTCGTGATGCCATTAGCTGAACACCAGGAACAGGGACTTGGTGACAGAAACAACTTCACTTGCAGAAAATGATATTTTCAACCATCTTGAATCTGTATCCAAGAAAACAAACTATCCAACTAGGATCGCTCTTCTAAATAGTGTACATTTTTTTGCTACTCCAATTATTAATACCCGCAATCAAAGGATTTATTATGGAAAACATTTTATATATTCAAGTAAATGTATTTTTTATACCAGAAGGCCATCATTCAGGTTTTTTCCCCAGAAAAGTATCTTGTTCTGATTTCCAGTATTGTTTGACAACTTGGGGATTGGGGCCTTCCATAGGGCATGATGAGTAAGACAGGAGTGAGCCTCCTCTCAGATTCCAGCCCCATACTGTCACTTCCCACAAGTATGCAAGTACTTCCAAGCCTGGGTTTCCTGATCTATAAAATCGAGATGGTAATTCCTCATGGAGTGTTTCTTTTATTTATTTTTTTTTAAAATATATTTTTATTGATTTCAGAGAGGAAAGGAGCAGGAGAGAGAAGATAGAAACATCAGTGATGAGAATCATTGATTGGCTGCCTCCTGCACGCCCCCTGCTGGGGATCAAACTTGCAACCAGGACATGTGCCCTTGACCAGAATCGAACCTGGGACCCTTCAGTCCACAGGCCAATGCTCTGTCCACTGAGCCAAACCAGCCAAGGCTGGAGTGTTTCTTTTAAATCAGTTTCAAGCATTTCACTTTTTCTATGCACTTCTATTGGATTTATTGGTCTAACACTGGTTAACAAAATTATGCAGGTTTCAGGTGCACAATTCCACAACACATCATCTGCACACTGAACTGTGTGTTCACCTTCCCAAGTCTTTCATCACCATTTATGCACCCCCCCACCCCCCACCCCATACTCTCCTCCACCTCCCTCCTCATTTCAAATATTTCAAAAAGAGAGAATGTGTTTATAAACATTTAGCACCAATACTTGGCACATGCCTGAGTAAGTGGGTACCTATGATTATTATCTTTATCCCCATTTGTTCTAATAGCCAGAGAAGGTGAAGTAGATTAAAGATGGTCACAAGTTCTTGAACATTCCTCCCGTCTATAAATGAGCTTTGTGGCCCCTCAAACTGGTGGGCTGTGTGCTTGACCAATATACTTCAGGGGAAGTGGTACTGTGCCAGATTCCTCGTGCCAGATTCCTCGTCCCAGGCCTTTACGTGACTGGCCGCTTCCACTTCCTGCCTCTTGAGGTATTTGCTCTTGGACCCAGCCACCATGGTGTGTGAAAAACCAAGGGAAGACCTACATAGAGAGGAATTGAGGTCCCTCCACCCCAATCCTTTCACCACCATCCACACACAGCTCCCAGCCAAGAGCCAGCACCAAGTTTGCAGCCATGGGAGTGAGCTTCTGGGAAGAGGCGGCTCTAGCCCCATTCCACCTGCCCCAGCTGAGGAGTGGAGCAGAGACCAGCTGTCCCTACCAAGTCCTGAAAGTGCAGATTCCTGAGCAAATTAATTGCTTTAAGCCACTAAGAGTTTTGGGTGGTTTGTAACAGTGATAGATGACCAGAACAGATGAAATCATCGTTTCCTCCTCCACTCTGATCCCATCCATGATTTAGCAGTAGAAAGGGTGGGCAGGCCTGGCCTGGGTAGCTCAGTGGTTGAGCTTCAACCTGTGTGCCAGGAGCTCATGGTTGCGTGCTCTATCCCCAGTAGGGGGCGTGCAGGAGGCAGCCGGTCAGTGATGATTCTCTGTCATCATTGATGTTTCTCTTTCCTCTCCCTTCCTCCCTGAAATCAATAAAAAAATATATTTTTTAAAGAATTGTGGGCAAGTTCATTTAGTCCAAAAGAAATAAGTGGTTTATAGAGAAAGTAGGTCATGAAGAAATTTGCTGAGTTTGCTCCGAGCTGTGTGGCCAGTGCTTGACTTAAACAGAACTCTGCCCGGTTATGCAGCAAACCTTTCCGGATGCCTGGCTTCTCTCTGGTGCTGCGCAGAGTTCGTGCCTCTGAGATACCATTGTCCTGATAACAAATCCCTGTACCCAGGCACCACACATTCGGCCAAGATGTATAAATGCGACCGGAGAGACGATGCCCAGTGGTCCAGTCATGAGGAATGTGCTCTAGGGAATCTTTTTGGCAAAATTTGGCAGCATCGGAGAGGACTTTTTTCCTGATTGCGTTGCTCAAGGGGGTTCCATCAACTTTCCTCTCGCCTAATTGGGCCAAGAGACCATTTACTGCCGAATCTTTATGATGTGAATATGCGTGACGTACAAGACACCCACTTCTTGCGATGAGGCTTTCCTTCCACGAGAGGGAGTAGCTGCCTTGCACATCGGCAATTATCTGCTTCCAAAACTAAGGACGGCCTCTCAAGAGATCTGCTATGTATAGTGCTCTCAAATTCCGCTGTAAACTACTTCATCTCCTTCTGAAGTCTTGTCACTTGCAGATGGGGAAACTGAGGCACTTGGCTTGGATTCCTTCCATAAAACGGGGGCGACGTGAGATGTAATGGCCGCACAGGGAGAGACCACGTCACCGAGCCCTTGGTGCTCACGAAGGCCCAGCTTCCACCCCCTCCGCCCTCCACTCGCCCCACCTCCCGCGACTTCCCATGCTTTTCCCTCACTTCCTCCTCCCGTTTGTCCCGCCCCTGGCTCCGGGCAACGCGCGTCTGTGATTGGCTGGCGGGAGTTGCGAGGCAGCGGAAGAGGTTGCGGTGACCATGGTGACGGGAGGCGGGCGCGGCGCGGCGCCCCGAGGTCGGTGCTCGCCGCCAGGCCCCTGCGGCGGCTGCTGACGCTCGCGCGGAGGCCCGGCGGGCAGAGGTCCGGCCCGCGCGTGGCTAGGCCGTGACCCGCCCGTGGCCTCGGCGGCACGGCCTCCCCGATGCCCGTTGGGGCTCTGCGGGGCAGAACGGAGGTTGCGTCCGGGCCGCGGGCCGGGTAGGAGGCGGACGGGCCGGCTCGCCTGCGCGGGGTGGATGCGGCGGCGGCGGGATGGACACCCTAGAGGAAGAGAGCTTCGTGCTGTCTTCGTAGGTGACCCTGCCGGGCCCGGGCCCGCTGGCGCTCCGTCTCGGCCTCTGCCCTTAGAAACGGGTCCCCTGGCGGGTGGGGGGCTGTCAAGGCGCCGCCCCAATCCCCGGGGTCGGTTCGGTCGCTGGTGCGACCCTTGGTTCGGGCCCGGAGGACTGGAGGGCAGGGCGGGTGTCACGCGTTGACCAACGCCTCCGTCACACTCCCCCACCCCCGCCTCCGCTCTTCCGTCGTCGGCCGAACCTGGCGGTTGGAGCTGCCGAGGCCCGGCCACGGGAGAGGACCCGCCAGCACCAGGGCCCCTGGTCTCAGTGCCCCCTCCCCGGCCGGCATCGCCCGCGCCGGGTCCGGGCACCAGCCGAGGGGTAGGCTGCCGGCCCAAATGTGGCGAGCGGGCCCCACGGGAGACGTGCGGAGCAGCCGTGAAGATGGCCTATGCGACCCTTTATTTGTCCCATTTTGTAACTCTGTGTGTCACATCGGGTTGTCTGAAAAGTGGAGGCATTGCTGTTCATCTTGGATGTCGCAGATGCGCCCAGTGGGTTTTATTCTCTTTGGAATTGTTAGACAGTAATTAATTCTGAAGCTGAGGGATAGGACGCCTATTTCGCTATCCATTTTTTGTGTGTGTGTGTGTGTGTGTGTGTGCATGAAAATGTACATAATTAAAAAAAAACACGGTTTGAAACAGCACCTAATCCAGGCATGTTTTCCAGCTCCTCCGCCTCTGATGCAGAATTCGACGCTGTGGTTGGCTACTTGGAGGGCATTATCATGGGTAAGCCTCTTTGCCAGCGTGGCCTGTGCTCTTACGTCTCAGACCCGTGCTTTTAAGGACACAGAGTTAATTTTTAAGAGCGAAGACATCAGACATCGAGCTGCGTATAGATTTTAAAGTAGCACAGTGTAACGTTAAACCCTACTGTGATTTGTCTTAGAGGCAAACAGCCCATACTGCTTAACACAGCAAATCCCCACCGATTCTGGCCTCAGGAAGGAACTTTTCAGGAAAGTCGACACCTAGAAGTTACGGGGCTCTGGGCAAAACTTCAGGAAATATTGATCTACCTTATATCAGAGACGAAGAGCAATTCAACTTTTTAGTTTTTCCTTTTTAACATTTTTATATGAAGTAATGCCATAACCATAGCATAGCGCACATGCATGAATCAAACAAGGTATTTCCTGTTTGTGGGTTCACTTTGGCACCCATAATTCCTACTAAGGAATTGGCACCAAAGGTTTAAGACACATGTGGGGGAGAGAAACTTAAAATTTGAGACAATGTTGTCTATTGACTTCAAGTCTTCTGAGATTGAGGAAAAGAAGGCTGCGATTTGGTGTTCCTCGCTGTGTCTCTTACTCTAGTTTAGTCGGAAAATCACTGACCGAGTTTTTGTATGTCCAGGTAGGTATGGTAAAGAGCCATGCCCTTACCTGTAAATACAGCTGTTTCACCACTAAGCTCTCATTCCATGTGGATCTGAGGGTTTGGAGGGGATACTGAGGAATACTTTGAGTTCTTTTGCCTTTTATGGATACCCTGTGCCCTGTGGGAAAATGAACTCCTGTAAGCCCAGACTATCACAGACTGGCTACGGCTGTTGTGTATATTTAAGTACAATTTTTAAAATACTAATAAAAAAGCCAGTTTGGCCCTAACCTGTTTGGCTCAGTGGATAGAGCGTCCCAGGTTCAATTCTGGTCAAAGGCACATGCCTGGGTTGCGGGCTCGGTCCAACGTGCAGGAGGCAGCCAATCAGTGATTCCCTCTCATCACTGATGTTTCTATCTCTCTCTTCCTCTCTGAAATCAATAAAAATATATATTTTTTAAAAAGCCAGGTGGCTAAGTGGGTCTCAGAGTGTCAGCCTGCGGACTGAAGGATACCGGGTTTAATACTTCCTTGAAACACCTTTAGTGTTCTCTCCTGGAGACTAACTGTTGAGAAACCACTTCTGACATGTAACTCCTGCCTGTTTGTAAATCAGAATGGTTTTTAGTTTGCATTAAAAATAATAGTTGTTTTTTTATTGTGGTTCAGATGACGAGTTCCAGTTATTACAGAGAAATTTCATGGACAAGTACTACCAGGAATTTGAAGACACAGAAGAGAATAAACTCATCTACACGCCTATTTTTAACGAATATGTAAGTGGGTTTCTATTTCTCTTGCCAGAGATTACGATCTCATTAAAATGTGGATTTAGAATCAAAAGATGCTGAAATTTGCTTGATTTTCAAATCTGCCACCGTACCTTGCCAGGAATTCTGTTAGAATCTGGTTTAGTTCTCATCTCCTGTCACTTTCCCACACGCAGCTTTTGGGGCTGTTTTTCAAATATGTGATGATTTCATCAACTTTTATTTCACAAGCTGTTTGGCTTTATCATAATCCTGATTTCAGTTACAATACGTGGGGCCACCACACCAGGCATTTATTTGACCTTTTGGCTTTCACACACTCTTTTCCTATTACTAACCCAGGTATGTATGTTTATCAGGTGAACATGAAAACCAAGACCAAGCCCGCTAACTAGTGGGTGGCAAAACCAAGACTACAATCCAGGAACTTCCATCTTTGACCCGTGGGTGTCCCCCCTCTGTCAAGGTCAGGGCCTCCTGGAATGATACCATCTGGCTGAGAATGGGTTTGAGCCTCCGGAACCTTCTTTCCTTAATGTAGCAGCTCGGCAGTCAGCGCAGGTTCCCTCAGGCCAGGCCTCAGCGTCTAAGGACCCTGGATTGCCTCTGTCCAGAACTTCTGTGTCTGTTCTGCACAGACCCCACCTGCTCAGGAAGAAAAAGCCACTTCATTCCTCACTTCCGGCCAGAGGTGGGGGGAGCCCTGCTGCTGCCCCTACTGGTCGGAGCGCGTGCGTGCGTGTTCCAGTGTAATGACCGAGCGCCTCTCCGTCCGTGGGCCAGGCCGTCCACTAGGCCAGGAGCTGTGTTTTGGTCTCTTTGGTGTCCCCGGCACTCACCACAGGCCTGGCACACGGGGTCGGCTCTTAGGACAGGCTTTCTGAAAAGCAGTCCTGAGGTCTGACAAGATCTTTCTCACTTAGATTTCTTTAGTGGAAAAGTACATCGAAGAACAGCTACTGGAGCGGATTCCTGGCTTCAACATGGCGGCCTTCACGACAACCTTACAGTGAGTTGAGCTTGACTCTGTGTTTTGCCTTTTTCACCTCCCTCCTCCTTCGGTCTGGAAAAAAAGACCCTCTTTCTTCCAGTGCTTGATCATCAAGGCTGAGAGCGCTTGGTGGTTGGGTCCGGGTAGAAGGGCCTCAGAACCTTTGACCGAAGCCTTGAAGAGACAGTGTTCACCATTCATTCGTGAAGCAGCCACCCTTTCCTTTTGCAGGCACCACAAAGATGAGGTGGCCGGTGACATATTCGACATGCTGCTCACGTTTACCGATTTTCTGGCTTTTAAAGAAATGTTTTTGGACTACAGAGCAGTAAGTCACCTGTTTTTCTTTTAATTTTGTGTTTTTAGTAAGTCACTCTTGCCTGTTCCGTTGGCCACACTGAACCACTTACAACGTTCTAAGAACTAACACAAACCACCTCCCAGCTTCTCCCTGTGAGCTTGGCCAGTGGCACCTCGTGGGTGTCAGTGAGCTGCTGTCCTCCTCCAGCCGGGACCTGGGATCCTTACCGAGGAATCCCATTCTGTGGTTAAGACTGACCGTGGCCAGTGCTGAGCAAAAGTGCAAATCACCCTCCCCTCCCTGTGCTCCTGGTGTCCCACACCCCCACCCTGAGCCTCCTTCCCCAGGCGGGCTCTGAGCGAGGGAGTTTTATGTCTTGCCTCTTGAAGTTTTTGTTTCCCTTGCAGGAAAAAGAAGGCCGGGGACTGGACTTAAGCAGTGGTCTCGTGGTGACGTCACTGTGCAAGTCATCCTCCCTGCCCACTTCCCAGAACCACCTGCGGCACTAGGTCCCCTCCAGCAACGAGATTGTTCAACATCAGCCCAGGGCACGGGAGAGGCGTCAGCTACAGCTAGCGACAGGATAGATCTTGGGGAGACCGGCTCTGTTCCGCAATCCTTCGTTAACATCAAGTATTGATGGAGGAAAAAAAATGGTATGACCCTCCTGAGACCCGTTTCTTCAGAAAACCCTTGTGTTCAGTAACCCTAGTGCTCCTCCCTCGGTGGGCATCTCTCTCGGGGGCTTGAGTCAGCGCCTGTGGATGAGTCCACGTCCAGCATTCCACCTGGGGGCTTGCTTCCCCCGCACACGTGTTGGGGTGTCGCACCCATGGGTTTCCCTGGTTGGGAGCATTTATCTAGGGTGTTCCTCAAGCTGCTGCCGGACTTGAAACTTCTGGAGCTCCTATCACCACCGAGGGTCTTGGCTGTCAGAGTCACCGAGAGAGATGTCCTTTACCTAAAAGCTACCTGTCCGAGTCAGCGCCTAGTCTCACATCCGCAGTCCCTGTCCCCATGTCACTGTCTTCTGGTCCTGATGTAGCCCCCGTTTCCAGAACTCTCCCTTAAGCATTTTTGAAAAAACGATTTTTATAGTTAAATGCTCAGGCTGACCTAGTGGATATAATCTTGGAAGTTCCACGATTACCCACTTCAAGGTCAAAGTATTATATGCTTTTTAGTTGTTAGTGCCCCGAACGCGGAGGCTCCGTTGGCGCCGCGAGTGTGTGCTTCCGCGGAAGTGGGTCAGGTCCCCTTTGCTCAGCATGTGTGTTCGTGCAGGCTCGCGCCAGCTTTTTCTGTGTAAACCGCGTGGTTAGGTTTTCTGTTGGAACAGAGGGTCTGCAATGCTTTCCTGTCAAAACCTTCCCACCAGCGCAGTGTCTGCTGGTTAGCTCAGCTCCCGGTGTGCACCTTAGATGTTTTTGAAAATAAAAATAAGACTCTGTACTGACTTCATGTGGCTGTTCTGGTTTTAAAGGATGAGCTGTACAGAGGCTGTGTGTTTTCTGTACTGATGTGGCGCTCGTTAAGTGCTTTTGTATCGTTAAGTAAAATTGAGGTGTTTTGCAAGAACCAACTCAGACAAGTTCTTCTGTCTTTATTTTTATAAAAAACAAAACAAAAAAAAATGAAAACAGTCACCACCAAGCATATGACAACTCACCAGGCAAGGCCTTGATGCCCCGCCTCCATGTCCCAAGTGTCCAATCAGCAGGGTCAGGGAAGCAGCTCTATTGACGGAGGCTTTCCCCAAACGGGCTGTTACAGTCTAGGGCTTGGGAAGGGAGGGAGCCTCTGAGACAGGCTTTCATCATTGAGAAGTTGCTTAAAGCCAATCTGCTCTAAATAACCTTAAGTGTCCCTAGCTGGTTTGGCTCAGTGGATAGTGGGCCTGTGGACCAAGGGTCCTGGGTTCGATTCCGGTCAAGGGCACGTACCATGGTTGCAGGCTCCGCCCCAGCCTGGGCCCTGGTCGTGTGCAGGAGGCAACCAATCAATGTGTTTCTCTCACATCGATGTTTCTCTCTGTCTTTCCCTAGCTCTTCCACTCTCTCTAAAAAATCAATGGAAAAATACCTTGGGTGAGGATTAACAAAAAAAATTAAAAGTCACTCTTTTAAAAAAATAACCATAAGTGTGAAATACAGGGAAGGAAGAGCACACTGTCAGAAAAGTCTCCAACGACATGTTGGCCTGGGGGAGGGTCAGGTCGGAATTGTGTTTTAAGGACCCGGCACGGTTTCGTGAGCTTGCTCCGCGCTCCTGGATCAGAGACTGTGATGACGATAAATACATGCTGCTGGTTAGGCTTATAACCATAGGGTGGGTGGGGGCGGCAGGGCCGGGGTCCTTGTTAGTGTGCTTAGTGCTGGTGAGAAGGCGGGGCCCCGCCTTGGACGCTGAGGTCCTCTAGACGGATCGGACAGCGAGCCCGCGTCCCCCGTCACCTTCTGCGGAATAAGGGGGATGAGAGTCTCGGCTGCTGGCTCGCTCCAGTCCACGTGCAGGCGACCCGGCCGAGCCGGAGGAAGGATCGGATGCCTTAGGAGTGTTGGGTGAGCCCACGTCTGACGCTCAGACAGGAGCAAGTGTCTTCCCTTCTGGGCTGACCCGCAGGGCCACCCCGCGTGTGACCCGGCTGCAGCCTTCAGCCCCACGGTGGGCCGTGGTCAGGGGTTTAGGCATAGCCGCCAGCCATCTGACTGGTGGCTGCATTGCTGCCGACTCCTCGCCAGGCCTGGAAGCTGAAGAAAGCGCTCAGTCCGTAGGCGATCATCACTAAGCACGAGAAGAACTGAAAGAGGAGAGGAGACACCTCGGCTGAGTCGTCTGCAGCGCGGCTTGGGGGAGGGGGTGGTGGCAGTGGCGCTGGCAGGAAGCGGGCAGCCTGGGGCAGGCACAGTGGGGCCCGGGACTCCTCCATGACCAGGACCAGTTGCTCCGGCAGCCACACCCTCTCCTCAGCCGCACACTCATCGAGCACCTAATTGTTGGGGGCTGATGGTGCTGACATTCCATTCCAGTGGGGGGAGCCCTTAGCCACGCAGACAGGTATGTGACAGGCAGCTGGACAACACGCTAACAAGCGTCATGAGGGGCAGGAGCTACGTTAGACACGAGGGATTTCGTTTTTCAAAAGGCAACATTCCAAAGCTACCCTAGGAATCTTCCGGAATCCGTTCGTTGGAGAGCCTGTGACTCCCCCCAAGTGGTCTAAACCAAAAGGTCTGTGCATGTGCCCTTTTCAAGGTAAAGATGGGGGCCATAGTTTTTAAGATTCTCTGGTGGGGGTGGGGTGGGGCTGCCTACAATCCTACGTCAGGGAGTTGCAACTGATTGACAGCCAAGTTCAAAGGTTAACCCAAACTTCCATTCACCACAAGGTATTTCCCAAGCCTGGTGCTCCTTCAGACCTTTCTGTTAACTGGGGGGGGACCGAAGGCTGGGCTCCCCTGAGACCTGCTGACTTAGGACGAGAACTCGGGAGGTGGCAGGTGCCTGGCCTCAGACCAGGGAGCAGTGGGGTCCAGGGGCACAGCCCTCGCTCTGGCCAATCCCCGGTCACTGCTGAGCCCCAGGGAGCCGTACTCACGGAGGCGGCTGCGCGCTGGTTGTATTGCCGGGTGCCCTTCAGGGACGTCTGCTCCACCGACGCGGAGCAGGTGATGAAGGCCGTGACGTAGAGAACGGTGGCGCCCATGTTAAATGCCATCAGCTGGGGGCGGGAGAAGAGAGAACTGGCTGGAGACGCGAGACTTCCCTAACTGGGACCTCATGGCTCCCACCTGCACCCCCTCTCCCCCCCCCCCGGAGCAGCCAGAAGGGGCTGGCCCCTGAGGATGGGGATGGAGACACCTGAGCAGAGCACAAACATCAAGGCTGCGGGGAGCTGGTCGGGGGCAGCGACATGCCCAGCGGGCAAGACCCATTCCCATGGCAAGAGGCCGAACCCAGCCCGTCACTGAGTGCAGCCATCAGCTAAAGACTCCAGGCCCCCTCCCCCGCCCCTTCCCACTGCAGGCCTGGGGGGGGGGGGGGGTCCACATCCCGCTCTGCCCCAAGTGGGAGGAATCTGTTCCCCTTTTGGCCACATTTTAGGCTCAAGGCCCCACGTCAAATGCCAGGGTCGGGACCCAGCAGGATCCTGAGCCACACTGGCCAGGAGGACCCTTAGCGGACAGCCAGGCCCAGGGGCCTTTTCTCCAACCCGTGGCCCTGGAGCCAGTCCATGGTCTTAACAGAGACTGCGAACTGGGGGCCCTCAGACATGCTCGGTTCATCCCGTAGTTTATTTATAAAATCACCAACATTGTAAAATTCGATTTCATATGAAAACCTGAAGATTTCATAAAATCTTTCAATCATAAAATACAAGGAGATCTGGCACCAGGCGGCCCACTAACAGCAGTTGGAACCGAGTAGAGGGGGTCCCTGTGGGCCGATGAGTACTGGGCTCCCCGGAACCCACTCCTAACCCGCTACACACATCTTGCCAGCCTGGTAAAATCCCAGAAAAAACCCCAACTCAGCAAGCCCAATCCAGCCTCTGGGAAAAGGCCTGGGGAGTGTACGAGATGGCCTGCGTCAGGGCCTGGGAAAGGAACCGCCTGCCATCAACCGTGAGGCTGGAGGCAGTGGGGCCCCTCCATCTCCAGGGCCATGGGGCGGGGGGCTGGACCCCCTCCTCGCCCCAGGACGTTCCCTGCAAGCCCGGCTCCTGCTGCAAACGCTGCCTGGCTCCTGCCAGTGATGTCAAGATCCAACAAACCCGGTCTGTCTTGAGGATGACTCACGTTTCCTCGGTTTAAAAAGTCATTGAATTGCAAACAATGCTGCCTGGTCCCAGCCTTGCTTGTCTTACAATCATGTGCCTCTCTCTCCTCTCCGCTCGCTGGGAGCCTCAGAGCCCAGCTGCAGGGGTTTTCCGGGTCAGAGAAAAAAGCCAGCGCTTTCTCTGCGTCCGGCCCGGGCGCTTCCTGTGCCCGCTCTGTCCTGAGGAGCCTGACCTGGGCGGACCTGGGACTCCACCCTCGCCCGCTGAGGGGCTTCACCCTGGAGGCAGCGGGTGGAGGCCCTGCTGCACCCGCGCGCATCCTGCACACACCGCCCCGCACACACCACCTGAACACACCGCCCCGCACACACCACATGTACACACCGCCCCGCACACACCACCTGAACACACCGCCCCGCACACACCACATGTACACACCGCCCCGCACACACCACATGTACACACCGCCCCGCACACACCACCTGAACACACCGCCCCGCACACACCACATGTACACACCGCCCCGCACACACCACATGTACACACCGCCCCGCACACACCACCTGAACACACCGCCCCGCACACACCACATGTACACACCGCCCCGCACACACCACATGTACACACCGCCCCGCACACACCACATGTACACACCGCCCCGCACACACCACCTGAACACACCGCCCCGCACACACCACCTGAACACACCGCCCCGCACACACCACATGTACACACCGCCCCGCACACACCACCTGAACACACCGCCCCGCACACACCACCTGAACACACCGCCCCGCACACACCACCTGAACACACCGCCCCGCACACACCACCTGAACACACCGCCCGCACACCCACATGTACACACCGCCCCCGCACACACCACATGAACACACCGCCCCGCACACACCACATGTACACACCGCCCCGCACACACCACCTGTACACACCGCCCCGCACACACCACATGAACACACCGCCCCGCACACACCACATGAACACACCGCCCCGCACACACCACATGTACACACCGCCCCGCACACACCACATGAACACACCGCCCCGCACACACCACCTGAACACACCGCCCCGCACACACCACCTGAACACACCGCCCCGCACACACCACATGTACACACCGCCCCGCACACACCACATGAACACACCGCCCCGCACACACCACCTGAACACACCGCCCCGCACACACCACCTGAACACACCGCCCCTGCACACACCACATGAACACACCGCCCCGCACACACCACATGTACACACCCGCCCCGCACACACCACCTGAACACACCGCCCCGCACACACCACCTGTACACACCGCCCCGCACACACCACATGTACACACCGCCCCGCACACACCAGGCAGCCTGGGAATCCTGCCAGGCCAGCCCAGCCTCCAGAGACCCTCTGCCACACAGGCTCAAACTCCAACTGCCCCCAAAAGAAAAAATATATTTAAGACTCCAAATGGCCTCTGGTCTTTCCAGCCAACAGCCCCTGATCTCTACTCCCTTCCCCCCGAGAAAGCCAGGCCCGTGAACTTCCTGGCTCCACTCCCAGTGCCCAGAAAAACTGGCCACCAAGCCATCCACCCCCCCACCCCCTCACCCCCCCACCCCCAGCTCTGCGGGCTAGCGGAGGGCCCCAGGACTGCAACCATCCCACCCGCCACCTCTCATTTCGGGGAGGTCACACCCACAGCTCAGCCTGGAGCCCCCCCCACCCCAGACTCACCACCAGCGGCCAGGGCACCCTGTACAACTTCATGTGCAGCTGAAACAGGTAGAGGACGAAGAGGGCGATTGTCACCAGCCAGAGGAAGACAGCGACGAACATCACCCAGCCGTAGGCCGGGTACAGGTGGTACGGGGTGTCGGCGATCAGGGCCCACACCAGCAGCCCCAGCGCCTGGAGCGGACAGAGAGGGTCGAGTCTCGCGGAGCGCCCAGCACTCGGGCCTGATGCTGGCGGGCTCCCTCACACTTTCATTTAGTCGAGAAACATTTACTGGCGCCTCCTGCACAGCCCTGCGAACCAAGCCCTAGCCTGGTAGCGTCCTCCCCTTTCAGTCCCAGCCGAATGCTGCCGGCTCAGGGTCCCCTCCTCCACGCTGGGTCCCAGCACTCTCTTTGGGGCTCCCACCCCCAGGATGGACATTCTGTTTCTTCCCCCGGACTGTGAGCTCCCCAAGAGCAGGATGACTGTCTCACACACAGAGCCAAGCTGTCGCCCCCCACGGAGGGTGGGCCCTAACACCTGGCAGACTGTGTAGCTGCTACCAGCACGGACCCCGGAGAGACTGGCTGGTTTAAATCGTCCCTGCCCCTCCCTCCAACCCCCGCCAGCTAAGTGACTTGGGCACATCTGCCAGCTCTCTGTGCTTTGGTCCCTCATCTGCCAAATGAGTGTAAGGACCACACCTGTGTCCTAGGGCTGCGTTAAGGACCCGGGATCTCTGTATGGAAGTGTTTGCTTTATTTATTCCCAGCCCTACAGGCCACAGGGATCCACACAGCCCTTCTGGGGCGGGGTGGCGGGGAACAGTAAAGGGTCTGTCTGCTCTAAGGCAGGGAGCTCAGGGGAGGCCCCTCCAACCCTCTCTTCAGTGAGTCTTTATTAGCCCATCCCCCAAACAGAAACATAGGGAAATGTGCCCTGGTTATCGGGGCCACCCCTGGGTAAAGGGCAGGATTTGAACCCAGACCTGTCCTCCTCTGGAACCAGGCCCCTGAGAGTTACAAATGTGGTGTGTACAAACGAGGACATTTCAGCTGGTTAGAGGGCCAGGCCCCTGGGCACCCAGGCTCCCCACCCCGGCCCCGCCCTCCCCAGCCCAGCACAGCCTCTGGGAGATGGAGCTGCTGGATGCGCGGCGGGAATTTCTCCTGTTCCTTCTGGCCCCACTGCCCTGGCCCAGGTCCAGGCAGCCGCCTCGGTTTCTGCCCTAGAACAAGGAAGGTCCATTCCTCCATCGGAACCAGACGGACGGGTTCCCTGCCACCCCCATCTCCTCCCTCACAGCCCCAAGCATCTGACGGGAGCACCCCCACCCAGGGCGCCAGGACACCCCCCTCAGGACAGGGCACCCCCACATTTGTTGACACCTCTGCTGGCCTGGTGGCCCTGCTGGGGACCCATATTCCAGCGGGGAGAAGGGACCAGAGACTTGTCTATAAAACAGTAAACCCCACTGTTCAGAGGATGAGGGATGGACCCCAACTGCCATCTGCCTCCAGGGCTGGCCTGGGCCCTCTGCCCCGACCCCCGGGTTCATTCATTCAACAGGTACCTGTGGAGCAGCCAGGGCTCTGACTGAAACAGACAAAAGCCCTGCTCTCCCAAAGGGAGAGGTGCTAAGAACCCAAGACACAGAGATGGAGGGGGTCCAGGGTAAGGGCTAGGGGAGAACCCCAGCCGAGAGGGAGAACCCCAGCTGAGCAGGGAGAAAAGGCGGCAGGGTCACTTGCAATTTTCGATGAGAGGCCAAGAAGGATCTCAGTGGGAAGCAGACACCTGAGCAAAGGCGGGGGAGGGTGGGGGCGGGGGCGGGGCGGGGCGGGGGGGGGGGTCCTGTGGGAGGAGCAGAACTTTGCCTTTACACCTGGGACCCCATCCCTGGCCTATATGTTCATCTGCCCCTACATGTTATAGGCAGACAGATGTGAGCAGAGCAAGGACCATGGGCCACGTCCAGGTCACCAGGGTGAAAAGCCCCAGGTGCCCAGCAAAGGACGATTGCTGGGACCTCCCCCCAAGGGTGACCTTCCCTCCCCTAGCAGATGGCTGACCTTTCTTTCCTCCCTGCAGATGACATCCAGGCCTCAGTTGGATTTCAGCTCTGGGCCCAGATAAGCAACAAAACCAGCCTCGGGACCAGCTGCATCGGATAACAACCCCTTGCCTGGTGCTGGCCAATCAGTGGAGACCACAACCCTGAAGGGACACACCTGGCAAGATGCTGCACATGCGCTTGAGATCTCCCCCTGGGACCCCCCTAAAACCTCCGCCCTTGAAACCCTTAGGACCGAGGACCCAGCACACGCTCCCTCCTGCGAGCACGCCCAGTGCCTTTCCCTCCCCCCCCACCTCACACACCTCCCTCCGCGCCACCCGCCTGCCCGCCCTGCACCATTCGCTTCCTCGCTCCCGCTCACAAGCTCCAAGGGCCCTTCCTTTACCTCTGGAACCTGTTTGCCAAGCCCATTTCTTCCAGGAATTACTTCTACCTTGTAACTTACCCAACAGATGTTCTCTTACAGTTTGGGTCTTGCTCTGAATCCTTTTCTAGCCAGAACCCAAGCACCGAGGTTGCTGAACCCAGGTTTGGTCTGACCCCACTGGTCCGACACCTGGTGACGTCCCCGCTGCCCACAACACCATCATACACACACATCGTCGAGGCTTACTCTTACACACAAACCTCCTGCCCTTACTCCTAAACTCTGAGGCCCCCGCAGCACCTCCTCAGCCAAGCGCTATCGATAGAGAGAACTCTCTGGAAATCTTAAAGGTGCAGCCCCTCCCCCCTTTTTTTTCTAAAAACCTAAAGATTTCAGGTTAGACATTTTCTCTTTAAATGAGGTCTGTCAAAAAAAAGGCACATTCACATATGCCCCAGGACCTTTGCACCTCCCAAAGAATTTCTAAGCAAATGGATAACAGAGATATTTTTGTTAAAGTCACCTGCGGAGACGAGGGAGATTCGTCACCAATGCCAGACCAAGAGGCATGCCTCCATGAGGGTAGGCCCTAATCCAGGGAATGGTGTCCTTCTAAGAGGGAAACTGGACACAGAGACGCAGAGAACGCCACGTGAAGACAGAGGCAGAGTCTGGAGTGATGTGTCTCCAAACCAAGGAACACCAAGGACTGCCGGCAACCACAAGAGGCTGGGAGGCCTGAAGCAGACTCTCCTTCAGAATCTCCAGAAGGAACCGCCCTTGCCAGCACCTTGGTTTTGGACTTCCAGCCTCCAGACTGCGAGAGAAGACATTTCTGTGGTTTTAAGCCTTCCCATGTGGGGTGCTTTCGTTATGGCAGCGCTAGGAAATGAATACAACTCTCTTGGCTGCTCTCTGAACCTGCAGGTGGATAACCTGGTCTGATTTAACTGTGGGACGCTGGCATCGGTTCTTGGCCTATTAACTCTCTGCGTTCAAGCTCTGATCCTGCCATCTTTCTGGCTGCATGACTTCGGGCAAGTTGCTGGACCTCTCTGCACCTCCGTGTCCCCATCTTCAAAGCGTGCCTACCTCCTGGGGCAGTTCTGAGATGTCGATGGAGAAATATACAGAAGGTGTGCAAGAGCAGGGTAACGGTTGTTCATACGGAAAAAGACGGGCAGGTTAGGTTTATTACAAGCGCTTTAATAACCCAAAAGAATGTCACAAGGTAACTGTCAACATACTTTTGCCCACCTGCATATAAGGTACTTAGACCAGCACCCAACATAGACTTAACACTCAATACCTGTTCTACCATCATTGCCACGCTAAGAGGTGTCAATGTGGTTTTCCAGTCCATTCTCTGTGCCTGGAGTCCTTGGGTCTTAATAGTGTGTGCAGTGCCCAGGGGTGTGAGGCCCGGTGAGATAATGAATGTATCTCAAGTTAAGCACCAGGCACGGTGCCTGGCAGAAAGGGCCCTGTGCCAATGTGGGTCCCACCCATCGGTCAGAGACGGGCTTAGCCGAAGGGGGAGGCCCAGGTGCCTCCTGGAGCTGCACTCCTGCTCCCCATAGGCTGAGGGTCCCTGAGCAGAACGCTTTACACCTTTAGACCTCAGTCTTCCTCTCTGTACAATGGGACCTCAGTCTCCCCCTCTGTACAATGTTCTCCCCTCAATCTGAGGCCTGACACCCCTCTACACAGGCCTCCTCCAGGATGGCCCAAAGCCCTCTTTCCCATCAACCCCACGAGTGCTAAGCCAATTCCTCTCTTGCCCAAAGAGGGTCACCCCAAGTCTGCCTTTAATCCTCCCCACTCTCTGGGCTGGGTCAAACCCTTGCAGATTCGCTGTGTGGCACTGGGGGAATCACCTAACCTTTCTGTTCTGTTTCATCATCTGACATGTGAGGAGGTGGGGTGGGGGGAGTGGGGTGTGTGTGCTGTGCAGGACAGTTCCAAGCTGCAGTGGGCATGAGCGGCCATGGGGCGTTAGGGAGAGTAAACCTGTGGGAGGGATAGCGTCTCAGAGCCTGGAGGCGGACACTGGGGTTTTGAACTCAGCAGCCGCCAGGCAGGCAGGTCACAGAACTGACGAAGGGGCTCCAGGGGGGTGGGGTCTGTGGCGCTGGTGTGTGAGGGAAGGCAGGCCTGAGGCAGCCAGAACTGCTAACTTCTCAAGCGACACTGGAATCTGAATTTCTAAAAATCTCCAGCTTTTTGTCGTCGTTGTTGTTAATCCTCACATGAGGATATTTTTTCCCACTGCTTTTGAGAGTGGAAAGGAAGGATGGGGGTCGATGGAGAGAGAGAGAGAGAGAGAGAGAGAGAGAGAGAGAGAGAGAGAGAGAGAGAGACACTGACTGGTTGTCTCCTGCTCATGCCTGGACTCGGGGCCAGAAATCACCCCCTTAGGTCCTCAGGTAGACGTTCTAACCACTGAGCAACCGGCCAGGACAAATCTTCAGCTTTTTAAACATTGAAAAGGAAACCAAATGTTTTAGAAAAGTGCAGGGGCCACCCAGCATCCCCCAGGACTCCCTTCCCCCCCACTGCACCATCCGGGAAACTGTGGCCCATGGGGAACCTTTTCCCAGGGTTCCCCCTCGCAGGGACACAGCTGGGCATCTGAGGACACTCAGCACTTGGCTGGCCAGGCCCAGCCTCCACCCCCGCCCTGGCCCTTCTCCCTAGAGTGAAAGGGACTTTATGGGGACAGAAAGCCACCTATTGTGCCACAGGAGA